TACTTTCTTAGACTTACAGGTTCACATGAAGCATTTTATTTTTATCTAAGCATCTGTGACATAAACACAGTCTAAATAAGATATCAGAGACAGAGAGATATAGTGGAAAGAGCACGTGATTTGTATCCAAAGACTGCACTAGAGTCATGGCTTACCCCAGTCTAACAGGGTGAGCATGGTTAAGTCACTTTTGCCACCTTTGACTTTGGAAATACAAGAATAATTTAGTTTATCTGTCTGTCTGTCTATCTGTTTAATCTCCACTCAGAGGGTAGAAATGAGAGTTCTGCCAGCGTCTTCAGCCTGTCTTCAGAATGACCCCTCTCTAATACGTGAGGCTAACCTACTTCTCAAAATCCTAATAAACTGGATTTTCCAAGACCGTGTTGAACCCAGCACAGAATCAAGGCAAGAGGTCAGGCATCCGCATGTCTTACCGTTACTCGGTAGTGATTCCCTCACCAAATGACAAAGCCAACCAGGAGCATTAACTCTGCTGGGTCCAAAATGACAGCTTGAGTTTTGCATTAAAACCTTTTCATTTGATTCGGTTTCATTAACAGATTGCACAATTAACGCCGGTCAGCCTGCTCCCTCGTGAGACCCATCCCTGGGCACACGGAGTCTGAGTGAGAGTGCCTCACGCTCCGTCCCTAGGGGTCCACCCCTTCATGACTAGGTGTACTTATACTTAACATTAGTCTCGTACTCGAGATACTGCTTATTTTCAAAGGGCAAGGGCAAGTGTATGGATTAATAAGAAAATTGATAAAATTAAAATAAATTGTAATTTATTATCGTATTTTCCATTATCAAAAGCCATATTGTCTTTAGATTACCACCAATTGACCAACGCTTCATCCCTGATTAGGGCTCTGGTAAAGCTCTCCTTATATGTGGTGGATTTGGTTTAATTTGTGTGTGTGTGTGATTTAATATTTAAAATGCCAATTAGAAAAATGGATTTTAAATGAAACCAGATATATATATTTTTAAAAGTGCTAATCATTTTATATAATGGTCTTACTTTTTTTTTTTTTTTACAATTCAGGTATATTTTAATACTTCAAGTAGTTTTTCAGATTATTTTACTAGTATATCTGAAAATAATAATTTAGTTTTTTTAATTACAGTAACTTAAAGAAATATATATTTAAGATTAGTCTTCAATTCATGATTAACCATGAACATTGGGGGAATATTTTTGCTTTGCTGAATGAAGAAAACAACTATCATTCAAACAGATGGTTTGATTTAATTCAAGCAACAACTTATATATATGCAAAATAAAATTATGTAATTATTTTAACAATCATGTTTTATGAATTTCTGCATATTGTTTATAGCTATCTATGATCTAAAGCAAAATAGCTTAATTTAGACAACTCAAAAAGATTGTAAAAGTTATTTTGTTTATATAACTTATTTACTTTCACCTTTAATTCAACAATTCAACAAGGTTTTTGAACCACTGAGGTGGGTATGGTAAGGCAGATACACATTGTAACAATAGCATCGGAGTGTGAAGCATGTACTTAGTGCATTGCTAGGTGATATAGAAGTTAACTAAAAAGTAACAGCAGGAACAGGCAATTAAAAACCAAATAAATAAAATATATAATATGTCAGATGGCGATAAATGCTAGGAGAAAAAACAAAATGAGGCAGGGACGGGCAACAGAGAACCAGAGATGTGGGCAGCAGCTTTTAGGCCAGTGGTCAGGGAGGCAGTGTAGTTGTGTTTTAGAGGTGGGGAGGATTTTGATAGGAAGAAACTATTATTAGAGGTGCAGAATCAAAAAAAGGCCTGTCTTTCACCTGGGCAAAAACTCATTTGCAGTCAAATCATTCCAAGACTTAAGAGTAAGCAAAGCATGCTGCAAGAGGGATTTGCAGTCATCCAAGGACATTGTGAAGCACAGCCCTGGCCTCAAAACTGCATTCCTTGTATATCAAATCTATTTTCTTATGCTATACTATGAACTAAATAAATCCAGAGACTCTTGGGATTGATCAAGAATAAGCTCACAATAAATTCTGTTAAACTAAAAAAATTGCTTACCCTTTGTTTCAGCAAATTCCCAATTCTAATAATTTATTCTGCAGGTATATTTACATATTTATGCAAATATGTATTTGCAAGGAGATCCATCATGACATTATTTGCAATAGCAAACGTCGGCAAACAATCAAAAGGGCCATTTAGGGACAGGTTAAATAAATTATGGCACTTTTCCTGGAATGGAATATAGACAGCTGGTATAAAAAATGAAGCAACCCTCACTCTAAGTACCAATTTGAAGCAATCTCCAGGATACATTATTAAATTTTAAAAAAGCAAGGTGCTGAAGCAGACTTTCAGTTGTGTTTAAAAATTATATGCATATGATATCTATATAAGATAATATGCATATGTAGAGAGACTAACTTTGAAGAATATTGCTAACTCTGGTTGCAGCTTGGTTGTTACGGAATAGGAGTGGAATGACACTTCCTTTTTACTACATGCCCCTTTTAATCAGTTAAATTTTGTCCAGGTATACACATCACCTGTTAAACATTTTTTAAAATGTCCACATTACTGTAAATGTCAGTTTAAGATCAAGAACCTGTGGGTTTAAAATGGTAAAAGTTATTTTGATTAAATTTTTAAAATTTTACTCTAGGCCAGTGCGGTGGCTCATGCCTGTAATCCTAGCACTCTGGCAGGCCAAGGTGAGAGGATTGCTTGAACTAAGGAGTTTGAGACCAGCCTGAGCAAGAGCAAGACCCCATCTCTACAAAAAATAGAAAAATTATCCAGGTGTCATGGCACACGCCTGCAGTCCCAGCTACTTGGGAGGCTGAGGCCAGAGGATCGCTTGCTATGAGCTACCATGACACCACTGCACTCTAGCCAGGGTGACAGAGTGAGACTCTGTCTCAAAAAAAAAAATTAATTAATTACAAATAAATAAATAAATTTTACTCTAAATTGGAGTATCTTTTAAGTTTCAATAAGCGTTTATTGTGCAACTAGCAGGCATTGCCAAGCACTGTTTTAGGTACTGGAGATCCACAGAAAAATTCTGTCTTCTTGTTTCTCTCAAAGATGGTATAATTCTACAGAGGAGAGAGTTCCATACATGATTTAGGACTAATATTTGATTTCTAAAATTACCAGCAGAGTGCATAGCAAATAGTTAGAGGTTAATTGATGTAGGTTCACTAAAAACTCTGCCCCTTATTATTTATGATTTTAGGCAAATTAATTAATTAAGCTCCAGTTTCGTCATGTAGAACGGGGCTATAGTAATGATACTTTAGGGCATTGTTTTGATGATTAAAAGATACACAAAGCATGTAAATTACTTAGTACAGTGCCTGACATGAAATATAGTTCAATAAATGTTAGCTTTTTTTTTTTTTTTAAATCAGTTCCTTTTACTTACACATTTTCCTTTCAAATCACGGAAGGGAAAACTCTAAAAACCAAAGTGCTGTCATCAGTATTATAGTGGCAGTAGCAGTTTGAGACAGAAAGCTCAAGAAAGAATGAGCAGGGAAGGATTGCTGATAACTGGGCCTTGAAGAGCAGGTGGGATTCTGGCAGGTAGAGAAGTAGGGAGGGCCTTTTAGGCAGAGGGGCATGGTGAGCAAAGGCAAGGAGTGGGTGCAGGAGGGTGTTTGGGAATGGCGAGAGTAGCAGGTCTCACAGCAGACAGTGCACTGCCGGGGTCTGGGCGGGCGGAAGGAGTGTTGGAAGATGAGGGCACCAAGACAGCAGTGCTTGGCTCTTGGGGTTCTTGCCAGCCTGTCTAAAGAGTTGGGCTTTATCTTCCAGTGCTGGAAGGTGGAAACCAGGTGGCAGGAGACTGAAGAGAGAATAGAGCTGGAGGAAGTGGGAATATGAATAATAAAGAGAGGGATGGGGGAAGATGTACTCGAGAGGGCCACGGGTCAAGGGAGAAATTGAAGACAGCAGATGGAGGGTGGAGGGTCTTAGAATGAATGGAACAAGTAGAGATGGCAGGGGACAAGGTCACTATGGGGGATTAGCTTTGTAAAGGGATACAGACCTGAGACAGGAGAAGTGGTGAAGATGCAGATGAGGTAGGTTGTGGATGGGAGGAAGGTTGAGGGGCTTCGTGCCTGTTGGCTTTTATTTTCTTGAGGTCTGGACACCGAAGAAATGATCTGCTGAGAGTGTGTGTGTGTGACCGGAGTGGGACTTTAGTGCTCAGCATGAGAGGCAAGGACTTGGACCATCCATTGTAGGAAATGGAAAAAAGAATTGATTTGCAGGGAGTGGGGGGCTGGCTGAGCAGTACTGAGGGCCACTCGATGCTGAAATCCAGTCTTAGGCGAAGGCTCCCCAAGGGGCTGTGTGTGGTTCTCACAACAGCCTGGACCCTGGAAAGGGAAGGAGAGAGAAGGGGATCAGACCTACCAGATACAAGGGCTGCAGAAATCGAGGGTGCTGGCGTGAGTGTGCCTGACGGACAGGGAGAAAGTGAGGCCCCGAAAAAGTGGACAAGGTCAGTCTTAAGAGGATAGGGTGGGGTCAGGCACCTGGCGGGGGTCATGGGATCAGAAAGCAGGTGCAATGAGAATGGAAAAGGAGAGATGACAAGCACAGTGCGCTGAGCCTCGGGCTAGGGCACTTTAGACCTCAGGATTTTATAGGATTATTTTATTGCTGTTTTTCAGAAGCACTTGTTTAAAAATTGCCTTAACATTTTTACAAAGGTCCACATTTTCTGTTTTGGATACAGATCATGAGCAGTATGCCTAGGGCTTAAGGAGAATTTTTCTTTTCTTGGGAGCTTTGTTACGGGCATGTAATATTGATAGAAGGTGAACTCAGAGTGTTTATACAAGTGGGAAAAAAGCAAGGGTTTTTACAAAGGCACAGCCAGTCTCAGCTTGTTCCCTAGAAACCTGTAGATTTTCCTCATAGGGAAAGAAAAGCTAATATAAGCTTAGTGGTTTATATATATATTTTTTCTTTGCTTTTAAAGGTGAAACCAGTAATCCACAGCAAGATCAATGTGTCAGCTCGCTTTAGAAAACCGCTTCAGGAACCCTGCACTATCTTGTAAGTTGGACCCTTTTACATTTCAAGTTAAAATTGGCTTGATGGTTTCCTCTGCGTGTGGCATTTGTAGTGTAGTTTTAAAGGCATAACAGTTTCAAATGGTTTGGCTCCTTCTTTTCCAGCTTGATTGCAAATGGAGACCTCATAAACCCAGCTTCTCGCCTCCTCATCCCTAGAAAAGCCTTGACTCAGTGGGATCATGTACTGCAGATGGTCACGGAAAAAATAACTCTGAGGAGCGGGGCTGTCCACAGGTATGGCAAGGCGAGCTTCCTGCAAGAGAGTGGGTTCTGGAATTGTTGGAGACATTCCTTGGTGGCTCCGGAGTCACTGGTCTCTACATTTGAATTTTGGCTCACTACTTAGGCTTTAAGGGTGTGCCTCCGTTTCTTTATCTGTAGAATGGCTGTGTAATATTACTTACCTCATAGGATTGTTTTAAGGAACGGGGTAATCGACATAAAGAGCTTAAAACAGTCATTGGCACACAGTAACACATCAGCAAATATTAACTATTTTTATTATTCTGGTTTAAATAGGCAAGCATCAACAGGGCTTTAGTTGAGAAGGACTTTTTTTGAGTGAGTCAGCCTATTAATGAATTGTCTTTCCCCCCCAGGAGATATTTATGATTATTTGATTGTCCAAACTATTTGCCTAGGGTAAAAAAATCAGATACCAGGAAGTGTTTAGTGGGTTTAAGGATGAGGCTGGTTAGAGAGGAAAATTTAGTAGCGTTGTCTAAATGTAAGAAATCAAAAGCGTATTTTTAGTTCTAACTCAAGTGAAGATTGAAATAATGGCATTAAAATGTGATGCCTATGAAATTTATCCCTTGATAGAAGCTGACTTATTTATTTTACTTTAGGTGGGAAAGTTATAAATATACATGTGTATGACATATTAAGAGTGTGTATGTGTGTGTGTATACATATATATATACATATATACACACATGTATACACACACACACACACACACATGAATATTTCAAATCCAATCAAGAGTTTTCTGCTAGAGACCTACCTTTACCCCAGTCTCTCTGATACACTGCACTGGTAGAATACACTCTTCCTTTCAAGTTCTTATGTTTCATATATGTATAAACACACATGATAAAATAAGTTATCAAATGATTGACTATTATGTCTTTCAGTTTAATGTATGTACAGATTAATGTATATATATTTACATATATTAATATAGTTTCATGGCCATTGAGATTTTAAATACAATTAGGTATATTAATTGAAAGTAATACTTTACATGTGGCAAAAAAATCCAAATATGGTATAAATAAAAAGTATTTCTCCCACCTTAGGCAACCCCATCCCTTTCCTGCATCATTCCAGAAATATTCTGTGCATATGCAAGCACATATCATATATCTTTTATTTTTTAAAAAACATAAATGGGAACACATACACATGTATAAATAAATAAATATGCACACATACCCCTTGCTTTTTTCCTGTAACAAATATTAGAGATTATTCTTGCCAGCACAAATAAGTCTATTTTATTATTTTTAATGACTATAAAGCATTCCATTTTATGAGTATACCCCAATTTATTTTAATAGTCTCCTTTTGATGGACATTTAGATCATTTCCCATCTTTTGCAATCACATGCATATGTCTTTGTGTATAAGCAGAGTTTATCAGGGGACTAAAGTCTAGAAGTTGAATTGCTGTGTTAAGTGGCAAATACATTTAAAATTTTGATAGATATTGCCACTTCTCTTCCAAAGAATTTATACTAATTTAAATTCTTACCAAAAGTTCACGAGAGGGTCTGTTTTCCACACTTTTATCTATATTGTAAAGCTAACAGGACCTTTTGTCTTTTCATTCATGTTAAATAAAAATAGTATTTCATCGTTTCTTGATTTTTTATTTATTTGATATACAACATCTGTTGATTATGTCTTATGTGCCAGTCATTATTCTGAGTGCTTTATAGTTTTAACTTAATTCACTCAGGGCCCCTATGAGGTAAGTAGTGTTATTATTCTCTTTTAATAGACATGATGTGTGACACACAGAGGGGAAAGTTACTTGCCCAGAGGTTATGCAGATTCTGAGTGGCAGGGCTGGGACTCAAGCCTAGGAGACAGTCTGGCTCCACAGTTTATGCTCTTAACTACTTAGCTACTCCCTAAATAAATGCCAGAGATTTATATTTCATTATATATGAGCTATCTGTCATGGTTTTTGTACATTTGTCTTATTGATTTATAGGCACTTTTTACATATTGGGGAAATTACCTTTTCTGATGTTTTAAGTATGTTTCCAGTTTGCATTTTCTTTACATACAAAACTCTTGAATTTTGATGCACATTTTCAATCTTTCTTTATGATCATTTTTATGGGTAGCTTAGATCTTCCTCAATCCAAGATTATAAAAATATTCTCCCATGTTTTTACTTCGTACTTTTTTATTTTGTTTAACCCTTTGATTTTTCTGGATTTTAATTTGGTGTCAGAAGTGAAGTCAGATTTGAATTATTATATAATTTTTTTTAGATGTATAGCTTTGACTTTTGACCTATGCATAAATGTAAAGTCACCAAATAAATAATATAAAGCACACAAAGATATATACACAGATAATTTTATGCCCAGATATACCTATTTATACATATATTAATGTGAATAAATTCACACATGGAAATAAATATATGCAAATACAAATATAATGAAGTTTGGAAAAAATGAAAATGAAATGAAAATTTGGTTATGTCACCCAAACACTTGAATACTTACAGAAACTTGATTCTCAAGGTAATGCCAGATATGAGTGAGTTTTGGTTGCTGCTCACATGGGACATGCCCACTTAGCAGAACATTATTAGTAAGTCTTATGTTTGGACCCTTCCTATGCATCAGGATATTTACATATAAAAAAAATCCCATAAAAATGTAGTTGACTCTCTGTCTGTGTTTCCTGTATTTGTAGCAAAAGAAGAAAGTAGATCAACAAGAGTTGTATTAAAAGAGGCTACAATCATGGGTTAGAATTTATTCAGTAGCCTTTATCTACCTGCAGAGGAAACTAGTCAAATCCTGGCTGTTTCTAGAGTCCAGCTGTGCTGCCTTTTAATTCCTAGCTATAAAAGTTAACTCCTGATTCAGATCTAACTATTTTGAAAGAAAATGAAAGAATAATGTTTGAGTCTAGGCCAGTGGTTCTCAACCAGGTGTGATTTTGCCCCTTGGGGACATTTGGCAGTCTGGAGCCATTTTTGGTAGTCACAACTGGGGATGGGGGTGGTGGCCATTACTACCATGTAGTGGGTAGAGGCCAAGGGTGCTGCTAAACATCTTACAGTGTGCAGGGCAGCCTCCCCACCTCTCCAACAAGGAATTACCTGGTCTAAAATATCAATCGTGCCACTGTTCAGAAACCCTGGTATAGATCAAGGCAGAAAAAACCAGAAATCTGGAGTAAGTGTTGATATTTAGACTTGTAGAGGTACAATGTTATAAAGAAAGAGACTTTAGTAACTGTATTCTAACTAAAAACAAATACATTTCAGGAATTGTGGTGGCTATTTTCATTGTACTTCATGGCTCAATATGATATGGCCATTTACATAATCAGTAAACAAGCCCACAGGTCAACGGATATTTTATTTTTCTTTGCCTTTGCAAATGTAACTAACCTTTATATAATAAGAAGACTAAGAAAAAAAATTTTTTTTTGATGATCTTGAAATCCTTCTAGTTACTGACTCTTGTTTCTAACCTTCAAAAATATGCACTTTCTGGTTTGATTTTCTAATAGTCTTGTTTTTTCCTTGTTCTTTAAAAAAAATTTCTGTGGACACTTTAAATCATCTAGCAAAATCATCACTGTTCTTTAATGAGTAACATATTAATTGTAGTTTGTGGCAGCAGTTTTACAGTAAAGGAAGGTTCTTGTGAAACCCCTCGATTCTGGGAAGATATAATGTTCACTCTCTTGCTTAGGAGAGACGGCAAAAAAAAAAAAAAAAAAAAAAAAAGACAGAAGCATGAATGCTATGCAGTTCTGCATCATTAACGCTGGCAATGGGTTCTTTTACCTCCTGCCCTCTCACCCCATTTTTTCCTGACCCAGTTCTGTGTGTGTTGGGGTGTACTACTTTGGCTGAGGGTTGTTCTTACACAGAGTGTGGTCAGAAGCTCGTCAGCCTGACAAATACACTGAGAAAATAAATTTAAAAAGTACTCACATCCAGACTTCACCACTGTACAATGTATACATGTAATGGAATTCCACTTGTATACCCTAATTCTATTGAAGTAAAACAAACAAAAAGTACTAGCAAAATATAAATAGTAGAATCAATCTTTAGTGGAAGCTGAGGTTCATTTAAAGAGCCATATTCTGCGTAGTTACTTTTTCCCCTCTAAAATCTTAACGTGGCAGCAACAGGGGATCTTTATGCTATATATCATCAGGCCCATTGAGAGGAAACCCTGTACAGCTAGATAGTCAGAGTATCTCCCATATGACAGTGGCATTTAGTGGAATCTAATAACTTTGAGGCATTTATAATTCAACAAATGAGAATAGTAGCAAATGAGCCAAATTAAGAACAGACTGTTTGTATTTACTTTGTAGTTTTAAGCCGTTCTTTAAATGCTTGTTAAACTTCTAATTGTTAAAATACGTTGGCATTCATATTTTCACAGGCTTTATACTTTAGAAGGAAAACTTGTTGAGAGTGCAGCAGAGTTGGAGAACGGGCAGTTTTACGTGGCTGTCGGCAGAGATAGGTTTAAGAAATTGCCATATAGTGAATTACTTTTTGACAAGTCAACAATGAGAAGGCCTTTTGGGTAAGTCTTCATCCTTATTTACTCACTTCTCATGCTTCAGTTATCACTTAAAATCCCGTTGGGTCTTTCACTGACCACCATGATATTTTATGTGATTGATTATCTTGTTTATTACTGAGAATGGAAAGCACATATGATGTGTATTGATCTTTGTTTTTATTGCCATTTTAGGAGATTGGGAGCTATTGAACAAAAATATAATTTTGGGGAATTTATGAAAGACTACATAGTATTTTTTTTTTTTTTTTTTTTACCATGCGCCAAACTTAATGGTAAATACAAAGATGTATTCTTGTGAAGAAGATACAGGACAATGAGCTTTTGTGTAGCAAATATTATTAGAAGTTTTAGTGTCTTAACAATTGCTAGAGCAAATAATTTTTCAGTTGGTTTGGAGAGAAATATCCAAGGGTGTTAAAAAAAAACTGTAATATTTAATAGTCCTTTTAATAATAACTGTAAAATAGAAAAACAATATAATTGCACTTATGCAAATAAGTAGAGAGGCTGGGTGTACAGTTATTACATGCAAGATTTTAAGGATTATACTGTTAATTACACAGAGTGCACCGTGAGCAGTTTTTCCCTATGAAGCGCCATGTATTTGCTCACGATGCTTTATTTCAGTGAAGAGGAGGCACTGCAGATACAGTCACGAAGAGCTCTGGCCCAGAAGCAGGACCTCTCGCCTTGCTCATGGTGCCTGTGGAGCCATCTCTGTTGCTTTTCACAGAGATTCTGCAACCACTTTGCTGTTGGAAACTGACTTTTTGTGGTTGTCCTCTGCAGAGTTAAAGCAGAATGCCACCAATGTGTTGTTCATTAATTCATAATTCGTGTAGCTCAGATGGAGAGGCTGGCGGAGAGTTTCTAAATGAGTAATAGATGAAATGGAATTTCAGGGGTGGTGTTTGAACTCTGCAAGAGCACGTGGCTTTCTAGCACTTTAGAATTATTTGCCAGCTGACTTACTGCTAAACATCCTTACCCATCCATGAAATCAAATCCTTTAGCAATCTCTGCTAAGCAATACTGCATTAACCTGCTGTGAGCTACAGTGTGTACTTTATAGTAATAAGAAAACTGTAATTCATGTTGGCTTTTCTCGTATATATTAGCAAAATTTACCTTTATATGTATTATGTGTCCTCCTATTTTTGGAGAGGTACTGTTGAGTTTCAAAACAAATCTTTCCCTAAAAATGCAGACATCTGTGAAACAATTTATTCTGATGGTCTAAAAGAATTTTTTATTCTTTGGTGATAATGACTGGTTTAAAAACTTCCTGAATGTGAATGTCACTGTTTTACCATTCTGCTTTCCTATCAGAGGTAGACATAATGAAAACCATGGAAATGTATTGTTTTTAACTCAATCTGGCAAAATCATTACTCAGATTGGGAAACGATTATTTTTGAAATGCAAATAGGAAACTTTGGGATTTGAATAAAAATGTTATAAAAATTAGAGTGGTACTACAAGTAAGTATTGATCAAAATAGTGGGAAACATTAAAAATCTTTTGGAATGGAATTTGGAAATTTTGTGGGGTAGTCTTTGTGAAACTGAAAAAGTATATGGTACCTTTTGTGAAACACAGATGTCAGTAAATAGGTGACTTCTAGGCTGAGATGACAAGTTTGGATGATAATTATTTTGCATTATATGTTATTTGTAAGTCTTGTTCAAATTTCTAAATGACAATTTATTTCCACAGTCAGAAGGCTTCTTCACTACCTCCTATTGTAGGATCCAGAAAGTCTAAAGGGAGTGTAAGTATCAGATACTTTCCTCATTAATGTTCTATATTTTTATCTGATACAGAGAGACTGTCCTTTGGGTTTCAATTAAGTTCAAAGACACAAACCTTAGCTGCCTTGTGGTATATAAGCAATTATGTGAAACAACATTAGAACTTTAATATTAAGGTACTAAAAGACAGCTAACATTTTTAGAAACTAGACTTCAAAATATTTTTCCTTGTATGGACACCTGATATAATTTGTATCACCTTTAAAACTGGGGCTACAAAACTATAGTTTTATGTATTATATAGTTCTTATAAGAACCACTATATCAGGTCATATCAATGGTCCGTCCGGTCTTGTTTTCTATCTCTGACAAAAACTAAAAAGGAAGTTTTGGTAAGAAAATGGTAATCCTCAGTTATATTCCTCTAAAAGATTGAGAATCATTCCAAATATTTATCTATTTTTATTTTTTTTTTTACTGGTTTCTCCAGCTGAGGCTCCCGCTATTGCTCCCATTCCAAATATTTAGTTCCCATCAGAATATTTCCATCTATTATTCATTCATTATTTGTTAATTCAGTAAGCGTTTACTAAATGCCTATTCTGTGGGAACTGTGGCAAGCATTTAATAATAGGCTATTTCTTTCTTTCTTTCTTTTTTCTGAGACTGAGTCTTGCTCTGTCTCCCCAGCTAGAGTGCAGTGGTGTCATCATAGCTCACTGTAGCCTCAAACTCCTGGGCTCAAGCGAATCCTCCTGCCTCAGCCTCCTGGGTAGCTGAGACTATAGATATGCACCATCACACCTGGCTAAGTTTTCTATTTTTAGTAGGAGTCTTGCTCTTGCTCAGGCTGTTCTGGAACCCCTGAGCTCAAGCGATCCTCCTGCCTTGGCTTCCCAGAGTGCTAGGATTACAGACGTGAGCCACTGTGGCTGGCCATGGTAATTTCTTAACCTACTTGTGTATTTAGTTTGTACTTCATTATGGGGATGAGTTTCATGTCATGCTGGAGTATTGCTTGGCAAGTCTTTCTGGCTGAGACTTCTCTTTCTTTCAATTGGATTGCCTGTCAAGTTATGATCAGAACGTCCCCCACTCACACCCTGAACTAACTAAATGACATTCTTATTTTGTTGTTTTGTAAAATAAGTGATTGCTGGGCAAGGATACTGTCTCATAATGATTTTGATCTCCCTCCTCTCACTTTTTTTTTTGTTATATCATGTGAAATTCTTGGACAAAAGAAAAGTAATTTTGTGTGAATGAGTAGTATTGAATTCAGCATAACAAACAGACATTTATTAACCACTGATTTGCTTAGACTCTAGTACCGTGTTTCCTTGAAAATAAGACCTACCCATGAAATAAGTCCTAGCGGGATTTCTAAGCATTTGCGCAATATAAGGCCTACCCCGAAAATAAGACCTAGTGATGGGCATTGCTTCGCAGTGTTTCTGCACAACCCATGCATTTTGTCTCGGAGTGGTAAAGAAGACGAGCAGCCCTTCTCACCTGCCCCATGAGAGCTCTATTGCTCGACATGAGAGATTGGGGCCTATGGTTCTAAAGGAAATAGAATCGCAAGAAATTCTGGATGGAATTCGGGGTTTGGAGAGTTACGATGATGTTCCAGAAGAAGATGACTTAACTATATTTGAATAAATGTAGATTGTTGTACTGTACTTAAAAAAAATAACACATCCCCTGAAAATAAGCCCTAAGGTGTCTTGAGGAAAAATAAATATAAGACCCTGTCTTATTTTCAGCGAAACATGGTACTATTTTTGACAGAGCTGTTGCCCTCAAGCAACTTACAGTCTAACTGAAATCAAGAAGATAGCTTGAACAGGTAACAAACAAGCTAAAGCTAAACCCAAACCTGTGGTAGGATTAGTAAACGTCAGAGAGAGTGCTAAGGAATCAATGTGCAGTGGCAGGAGTTCACAGGGAAGTTGAATTTGAGCCATGCCTTTGGAAACTCTCTAGGATTCTAGTAAAGGTGGATAAAGGGAAAGGGATTTCAGATCAAAGGGACGGTGAGGAAGGGAGCAGACATGGGCATGTGGAGAAATAATTGCGCTGGTTGATACTTAGTGAACACTGGAGGCTCAATGCCGTGCCAAGCTCTTTATGGGAAAGGTCTATTTAATCCTTACCCCTCAAGGCAGGTAGCTTTGTGATCTGCGTTTAAAAAGGAAATGAGGAACACGAAGTACAAAGAGTAGAAGAAACATGTCCAAAGGCTCCATCGAGCAATTGGCAGGGGAGGGACCAAGCCTCCTTGGCCTGTGTGGCCTGTGTGGAGCTCCTGCACCTGACCCCCAGGGACAGTGAATCCCTCGGGCTTCCTGGAACAGACAGTCCATTCATTAGAAATGGTCCATCGTAGTGTGGAGGGTGATGTGCCTGAAATGGTAGGTGGCAGCAGTTTTTATATGACCTTAAGCACCAGAATGAAAAGTCTAGTCTTTATCCTTGAGCAGAGGGCAGCCGGTGGTGGCTGCTGAAAAGTGAGAATGTCCATCCCAGTCCACTTCAGGAGTGGCAGATCTTTTATGTGGAGAAAGACTTAACACAGTGATAGGCCACGGATACGTTGTCGGTTAGGAAGCAGTTGCTAACGGCTTCGTCTAAAGTGGTAAGAGCCTGCACTACGGAGGTGGCAGGCAGTGATTGTTGTTCACGAAGAAACAAATAACTTGCTTGGTGATTGGGTACATGGGGTTAACGGAGATGTTGGAGCCAAAGATAAGTGCAAGTATGCCTGAGAAAATAGTAGTCCTATGGCCAAGAAGAGGGCAGTCAGAGGAAATAATGAACTGCTTGATTTCGCACATGTTACGTTGGAGGTGTTATTAGGAAATCTAGTTGAAACTGTGCATCAAGCAGTTGTAAATGGCAACACTGAGGCCTGACGAAGACATCAGGGCCGAAGTTGTAGATGTGACCATCCATGTAACCGTCTTAGTCAAGGAGTAGAGGTAGCGCCACTGTGGTGTTCCTAGCCCCGAGCACAGCCTGCATGGAGCAGGCCTCATGGTGCCATCGAGTGAGAGAACAGGTGAGAGGTAGCCGTGGGGGAGACGGTGCAGTGAGAACCACGGGGGCCCCAGGCTTGAGACAACCCACCTTCACAGGTGTAGGGAGGGGGAGGGCAGAATATTTCAGCAGATGAAAAATACATTTTAGCCACTGTAAAGCTAAAGAAAAGCCATGAATTTAGGGCTTGGAAATTGTATGTTGTTCTCTTGTTTTTCCTAAGGACTTTGTAGCAAATTCTCCTGTGTACCATGAACATATTAGCCTGTTAATTCTCACACTACAGCTGGAGGGATGTTGGTTAAACAGAGACCCAGTATAATTGAACAACTGACCTCAGGTCACAGGGAAGGTCAGTGTCAGAACCAAGATCATGATTCAACTGTTTGCACTCACAGTTACTGAACTTTGGAATTCTGTGTTTACTATTCTGAAATTTGAAAAAAAATCTAAATTTTTCATTAGAAATGTGCCATGAGTTTCCTGCTTTAAAATGCATGTGCTAGTACACACATGCAATTTTCTTTCTTGCCCGCTTGTTTGGAAGATTTTTAGAATCTGTGCTGTGAATACTGATTCATCAAGATGATTGGATTTTCCTCGTGTCTGGCATGGTACTGAGTCCCAGGGAGACAGCGATAAGCAAAAAGACATGGTACTCTCTGATGCTCATGGTTTACTTGAGGAAACGAAGGTTAGACAAATCAATATATAAGTAGAAAGTATGATAAAAATTAGCGAAAAGTACAGAGTAATACAAGAAACAATAAAAGGAGAACAATTTAGGTAGGTGTGTCAGGAGTGGCCTCACAGAAAAGTCACCTTTAAGCAGAGACTCAAAATTCTCAAACATATTTTCAAGTTAAGACCTAGAAAAATAAAATAGCAGAGTTTGTCCCTCTTTCCCCAGTGTTCCCACAATGCTCTATATTCATCCACTCAATCAGTCATCCATTCGATGTGTCTTTTTTGAGCACTTACCAAGTGCCAGGAACTGGTGTGGTGAATAGACAGAGAAGGGCCCGGATCTCATGGAGCTTTTGTTCTCATGCATGTGTGCAGGTGGTGGTGGGAAGAATGGAAGTAGACCGTCAAATTGTAGACAAATATACAAATAATGTCAGATGGTGGTGAGTGCTGTGAGGAAAATAAAATGTGGCAGGGCACAAATTTGTATAAAATTCTCTGAAACTGAGACTGTAATGTTGTAAAGGAGCCAGTCATGCAGGGATGAGGCTTGGCGGGGTGAGGGGAAAGAGCATCCGAGGCAGAGGAAAGGAAGTCACGCAAGCCCTTGGTAAAGAGCCTGGCCTGTGAGGAGGGCAGGAAGAAGCCCGGGTGGTCGGAGCTGAAACTGGAGAGGCAGGCAGGGCCCAATTGTGCAGGTCATACAGGGAGTTTGGATTTTATTTCTCAATGGGGCACCACTGGGGGGTAATAAGGAGGAAATGATGTGGTTTGATTTACATTTTTAAAAGATCACGCTGGCTGCAGTATAGAGGAGTTGGGTTAGGGCAAGAATAAAAGCAGGAGACAGTGGGATGGCTGGAGTCCAGGTATGTGATGCAGGTGATTTGGATAGGTGGCCACAGGGAGGATAGTGTCTGTTATAATCTTCTTCTAGTGTATTGTTGTTGATTGGTTCATTCATCTAACACCTATTTATTGAGTGCATATTATGTCCTGGGCACTGTTTTGGTTCTTCCAGGTCCACGTATTCCAAAATACTAAATGCACGGAAGTTATATTCTAGAGGAAAAGACAGACACATACACAGTACATTTGATAGCAATCAGGGATAAGCTTGAAGAAAAATATATCAAATATGGAAGAGAAGGTGAGAAGAAGTGCTATTTCAGCTGGGTAGTTGGGGAGGCCTCTGTTAGGAGGTTACTTTTGAGCAGAGGAGAATAAGCCCTGGCACAGTGGCTGGTGCCTAACAGGTTCTCACTACACCTGCTTAGGGGGTGTGTGATGCCTGGCAGTGAGCCGCGCAGAGATTACATCCTATGCCGGTAAATCCAAATCACAAGATTGATTTTTAACAAAAGGGTGAATTTACTCCTTTCCTTTAATTAATTGGTTCCCTGGAGAATGCATGAATTTTATAGATCATTAGCTGCCCGGCACAGAGAGAAAGGGTGAAAGAGTGAAGGGGGCTGTATAGGGAGGGCTTAGTTTCTAACTTCCGAAACTATTGCCTGATCAACTGAGAAAGGGCCCTGAACCCGTGATGCAAATCAAAGGGGACACAGAACTAGAGTTTTAGAAATTTGTTTTTCCCCACACAGCTTTCTAGGAATTGTTCTATTGTACAAAGAAGGGAGCGTGGGTGGGGGCCTGGTAAAACTTAAAAAAACAAAACAAAACAAAACACAGGCGAGAGAAAGCTGCCGCAGTCTGCACAAGGCCCGGGCTGCAGCATAAGTGAGGCAGCAGAGCCTCATCCTGTTGGGGGAGGGTGGGTAGCCTGGGTCTCCGGGGGACAAGCAGACCCTTTCTGGACAGCCAGGGGAATGGCTTGTGCAAAGCAGGACAGTGCCAGAAACCACCACTTATAAAGGCTTACTGTGGGCAGAATCACAGACACTAGCAAGTTGAGAATAATTTTAAGTTGTGATTCTAGCCTTAAAAACAAAAGCAAGGTACAAGTGAGTTATCTTAAGTTCTACTGAGCTCAAAAAATAAACCTATCAGTGGAAGGCTGTTTTCTAGCTTCCAGGTGACACTACTTAGAATCAAAGCGCCCTCTAGTGGAAAAGATATAAAATTAGAGAAGTATTTGAAAGTTAAAGACTAAATGATCTTTTGTGTTCTTGTAACTATTCAGCCAATGCATATGATGATTAGTAGTTTACAGGATCAAATATTATGAATTCTAAGGTCTTGATAGAAAAAAACTGTGTGATTGTCCAATTATTACAGAGTCACTGTGAAGCAAGTTGTAAACATATTAAGATAGATTCTTTATACTCCCAGAACTCCATTTTGCCATGGTGGAAACTGAGTCCAGTATGGGTAAAAGGGCTTCTCCCTCTTGCCATCACCAGATATGCAGATGGGAGAAATGTCAGCGGAGTCTCCATCTGGCCCGTGCTCAAAGCGACTCATGGGTACTTGGCTGAAATACACACATTGTGATGGCCGCTCAGTTAGGCAGGGCTCTCACAAAATTATTTTAAACTTAATATTTCTGTGGTCTGTATGTTTCCGGCACATTTTCATGGGGGTTGGAAATGGGCTTATTGGGGTAATGAAAGAAACCTGAATTGGTTAGCTCTTGTTGGAAAAAGCTTAGGGAACTGTTTAAAAAAAAAAGTCCTGACCTTGGTGTAGAGTGAGGGGTGATTAAAGGGATTTCTTTGAGCCAGAGGTTTGCTATTCTTATTAGAGAGGCTGAAATGCATGTGAGGCAGGAGGCAGGACAGTGGTTGAAGCAAGGCATGGGGCTAGTTTCTTTGCAGAAACTGTAACATTATTAGGCTGCTTCTTGATTCCTTCCACTTTGAGATAAAGCCATAATTTGCTACTTCTGGGATGTCTGTTTCAGGGAACCAAACTAAATAATAGATGTTTCTAGTGCTTTGGGCATTAGAAAGCTTTAGTGTAGTGGGGAAAATCAGACCTTGAGAAAGTTAATTCTTTATGTATAAAATGGTGAAAATAATACTTACCTATAACTGTGGTAAATATTTGTGTCAATGTGTATATAGCACATAAAAGGTACTCAATACTATTGTTCTGTCTACTGACATAGCTGTATGAGATGGCAGAACTCCCCTGTCTCCTATGCCCTGCCAATAGCAATGCCTATCTGTCCACTTATTCAAGCTACAAGTCACATGTGGAAGCCTTGGGAAAAAAAAAAAAAAAAGATGATCCCTCTATCCCTTCATCTTTCCCTCTTTGTCACTAACCATATATAATCTATATAATTATGTAAAACAAGTATATAAATTAATTTAAGTATATGATCTATTTTATGCAATTTATATCATGTAATTTATTTTCATTTTTTAAGAGACAGGGTCTTGCTATGTTGTCCAGGCAAGTCTCAAACTCTTGGGCTCAAGCAATCCTCCTGCCACAGCTTCCTGAGTAGCCAAGATTACAGATACATGCCACCATGCCTTGATATTTCCATATTATTAACATTTTAAATGAATCAACCTTTCTTTTTTAAAAAGAAAAACATGTAAATTAATTTCTTTTTTTTTTTTTTTTTTTTTTTGAGACAGGGTCTTGCTCCATTGCCCAGGCTGGGGTGCATAGCTCACTGCAACCTCAAACTCCTGGGCTCAAGCAATCCTCCTGCCTCAGCCTCCCGAATAGCTGGGACTATAAGTGCACACCACTATGCCTGGCTAATTTTTCTTTTCTTTTCTTTTTTGGAGAGATAGGGGCCTCACTGTATTACTCAGGCTGGTCTTGAACTCTTGGCTTCAAGCAATCCTCCCACATTGGCCTCCCACAATGCTGAGGTTACAGGTGTAAGCCACCACACCCACCTATTTTCAATTATCTAATTACAAAGCAATTATTTTTTCCCCTCTCAGTTTAGTTTTTATCCACAAACTGCCTGAAGATTAGTTATTACTTGGTAATTGAATGCATGAGTGAGTGTCAGTACCCTTGTTAGAAATGTGATACATCAAAACTTTCCTGTATATTCAACAAGAAAGGTGATTTTTAAAATTACATTAATCCACAGGCACTCTAGAGCGGGACTTATGCTTCCCTCTTGTTATACCCCTTTTGTGAGTAATACTTTTCCCAGAGAGCTGGAAAAAATGATCTTGCTGAACTCTAGAGTTTCTCATTCATTTGGTTTCATTCTAGTCCTTGCAAGTTCAGCAGCATCTCTGAACATTCTAGTAGGCTTGCTAACTGCTTGTGAAGGGTTGTTCCTTTCATCCAAAGCTTTTACAATTTTAAAATTGTGGGGTGAAAAAACTCCATTGAAAATAAACTGGAACATGAGACTTGGCTGATGTTTTTGGAATCTCCACTATAATCATATCAATTTCCTTTGCCAGACAGTGTATGGCAGAACTTAAGATTCTTAAGAAAGAATCAGTGGAGAAAAGAAAAGAAAAAGACCTCTGGTTGCAGTTACTGCAATAATTAAATGGGTACTGTATGTTTAAATTGCAGTTGGAATAGGAAATTAAATTACACAAAAAGTGTTATAGATTTGGACAAGTTTTCATACTGTTAATAAATCTATGCATAATTCATTTTCTTGTAGGCTATGACAAAATAGCATAAATAACTTCATTTGTAAGGCTGTGAATCTTTTTATTCCTAATTGGGTGATGGCTAAAACCATTTAGATGCTTCCGGATGACTGAATATGTAAATGTTTAAAATGAACAGTTATAATAGTTTTCTAGGCAGATTTGTTTGTTTAATATTACTACTGTTATTTTCAGACACTAGCATAGTACAGATGTTGCATAAAGATTACATCCAGTATGGTGTAAGTTTGATACAGTTTTTAAGAAAAAGATATTAACTCACTCCTGGAGAAAGCAGTCTGATACTTATTAAGCAAACACTCTATGTCAGGCACTGTATTAGTCATGTTACACACTTTCCCATTTCATCCTCATGGTAGACCTAAAGGCAGGTGCATTGATCCCATTCAAATGATGAGGAAACTGAGGCTTAAAGAAATTAGGAGTTAGCCTATGTTCCCATGGATGGTTAGTGGCAGAGCAGTAATGAGCCAGGGATTTTGGGTCTCTAAAATGTGCATTCTTTGTGCTACCTGCAGCCTCACACTTTATACTCTCAGGTAAGCTTAGCACCTGAGCACCTGAGAGCTAAGACTGCCTCAGTGAGAGGGGGTTTCTTGCTGTGGCAGTGGCCAAGCAGCAGCTGAGAATCAGCACAGCTGTTCCTTGCAGCAGCACCCTGTAGTGGCTATTACGTGGCTACTCAAGAGCTGTACTGGGGCAGTGACACCAAAACTCAACCTCACTCTCATACTTAGGATCCCGATTTTGGCAGCCGCAAGGTGTTCATTGTGAGAGGCATGTGGGGACAGAGGCAGCCACCAAAGGCGATATTGCCCGTGGCTGCCTTGCATGAACAGGGAGCAAGATGCTGTGCAACATCCTCGGAAATGAAGGGGACATGTCATGGTCCTGAGCTGCTGTGGCTGCGTGTGCCTCTGGATGTGTGATTCTTAGAGACCATGGTGGTCACCCGCAGATAAGTTAATATTGGAGGATTTCTGCAAGCACAGGGTATGTCTGCTTGTATGATGATATGTATTCATTCACAAGGACAACCATTAATAGTTAAGAAAGCATTCCTAGATTAATTGATCAAACTGGCGGTGCTCACCATTCCTCATCCAATAGACACCTGCAGATCCTTCAGAAAGGTGCAGGAGTGAGAGGCTGGTGAAGGCAGTGAGTGGATTTACAGTGGTTCTGGAGGCTGTTGTCTGCTCCTGACTGGCTGTGGGACTTACCCTCTAAGCCTCACTTGCTCCTCTATACAGCGCAGTGATAATGGTACCTGTCTCACAGGGCTAGCCTGTGAGGATTGAGTGAAATACAATTTTATAGGGTACCTGGTACAAATTAAATATCCAACAAATGTTAGCTGTTGCTGTTATTCTGCTTCCTCTGCTAGATCCTTCTTCTTGCCTCTAGAAAAATAAATTTGGAGTTAATGTAGGTGTTAAAATAGATAGTCGCAGAATCAGTGTGATACATATCCTGGTCCTGCCTGTTTGCCTCTAGTTACTGACTTGTATTTACTGGGAATCCCTTGGGAGTTCATTAGCCAATAAAAGGGTCTTTTGCCATTTAGGGAAATGATCGCCAATCTAAATCAACCATTGGATCCAGCGACAACTCATCTCCTCAGCCCCCCAAGAGGAAAGGGAAAAAAGAAGAAGTGAATTCAGAAAAACAGACAAAAGTGAAACAAAATGTAAAGTTAAAGAATTCACAACAAGCAATTCCAAGTAGTGGTAAGTTTGTTATTACTATTATGTTGTGATTGCTAATTATCATTATCTTAAGGCTGTGATACAATTTTAATTCTTAAATAGATCCAATTTTTACCCTGGGCCTACAGAAGATACTCCTTTTTGTCATATATGAGAGTTTTCAAAGAAGACTTTTTGTGTATGAAAGATGCCACTGTTTTTCATGCTCAGTTTCTTTTCGTGATTAGTTGTTGTGTTATGAGGACACTTGTTTTTTGTTTTTTTTTTTTGAGACAGAGTCTCGCTTTGTCTCGCCATGGCTAGAGAACCATGGTGTCAGCCTAGCTCACAGTAACCTCAAATTCCTGGGCTTAAGCGATCCTCCTGCCTCAGCCTCTCGAGTAGCTGGGACTACAGGCATGTGCCACCATACCCAGCTAATTTTTTCTATATATATTTTTAGTTGTGCAGCTAATTTCTTTCTATTTGTAGTAGAGACGGGGTTTCGCTCTTGCTCAGGATGGTCTCGAATTCCTGACCTTGAGAGATCCACCCGCCTCGGCCTCCCAGAGTGCTAGGATTACAGGCGTGAGCCACCGCGCCTGGCCAGGACACTTGCTTTGAGATCAAATATTTCTTGTGGTGGTCTTATAAAAAAGGTAAAATTTGCCACCTTCCGTTCCTACTGAGCGTGTTCGATTAACATTTTTACCAACTACTCTTTATATTGGTCTGTCTCATTCGCATGTCTGTAACACTTGCCGTCATTCATTATGATTTACAGATCACCTTCCCTGAAAAGACATTTTGTTAATTTTACTGCTGTCCAAGAGAACACTAAACACACACAAAACTTCACCAGTAAACAAATAACATATGCACCCAAATTAGTTATGTAGTTTTATCTTGCACTACCAGGTGAGAGATGGTATCAAATAAAAAATTTAAATTTACATTAGTTCAATTTCATTAGTATGAGATACAAGTGTGGTGAACTAAGGAATATGCAATGAAAATTGTGAACTTCCACATGAGGTTTTTATAGAGAGGCTTGGTTTTTGGTTTCATTCCAAGCATGTTCTCAGAATAGAGGGATGCTGGGCGCAGGGAAGGTTGGCTGGGAAGCAGACCGGTGGAGTGACTCTTCCTCTTCCTACCCTGGTATCCACCCACACACCCTACCAGTGGGGCAGGAAGGAGTCCATGGAGAGGATGGATGGGATCAGGTTTCAGATTTATGAGCAGAGTTCCTTCTTCTACCTGGGAGCTCCAGCTTATTTCAGAGTGGCTATGAAGAGTCACATTAGAATTACAACTAACGTAGGCTTCACAGCTAAGGAGACAGCATCAACTCCTGTGAGGGTTTACAGGAAGCTACACAAGTGCTTAGAGAGTCAGAAGAAAGGTGGGTGAGAATAGGTTAAAAGATCAGTCTAAATGGGAGAATCAATTGCACAGAGAGGGAGTGGAAGGGGTCTAAATCATCAAAGATTTCAATGATGGAAATCAGCTGAAAATCCTAGGTGTCCTAGGTTCTTATCCCAGATCTGCTATTGACCTTGGGCAACTTACTTGACTTTCTTTGGTCTCCTTATCTCTTTGTCAAATATGGGTTCACATTAAGATTTATTTTTGAAGTCTTGCTTATCTTTAAATTCATACAATCCTTTTCAGTGACCAGGAAACAAGGGGGCCACAGTGAAATAGTCAGCAAATGTTCATTAAGTTCTCATTAGGTGGTAGGCATGAAACAAAAGAAATTGGCCTGGAAGACCATGCCATACCTCCAACATTGAAAAGAAAACTTTATTTTAATTAATACATACTAGATTGTGAAGTCCCAAAAGCCTTGGGCCATGTATTACAAATTTTTTTTTAATCTCAAATAACTTGTGTGGGTTAGAGAGATGTGAGGCACTTAATAGATGCTGAATGAATGAATGATGGAAGGTAAAAAATAGTTAAGTCTGTAATGCTTTAAAACCCACTAAGCTAAAGGACCCATTTTAAACTTTTCATCAACTATTTTTGATTAAAGGGCTTTATAAGAGGTTATTTGCATCGTTTCTGTGAGGCTCTTATCAGTTTACAGAAATCCAGATTTCTACTTCCAGTACATTTTTTAAAAGTCTTTGGATTTAATAGACAATCGTTGGAAGAAAGGGAATGACCATCTTTTCAGATTATCTCATTTGTAGAAACTTGGGAACATAAGAGGCTACATCAACATATGCCTCGTTCAAGGGAAAGTAACCTTTATTCAAATGTTGCATAGTCAGTATTTTTGCTTTTGTAGAAATTCACAAATAGTTTTCAACAATAGTTGGGTCTGTGAGCATAAAAATAATAGAAATATTAAATATTAATTATTAATTAAATATTAATATTAGATATTAAATTCAATATTTAACATTGAAACAAGTCATTTTAAAAATGCTAGAAGGTAAAAGGCCCTCAGCTGTTCTTTCTTTGTCTTCAGAGAATCCTGCAGTTGTTTTAGATAATTGCCCATTTTATGTGTATATTTTCCAATGTGGTTTTATAATGTGTAGATTATATGTTTTTAAACTGCTGGATCTCATTTGTTACATGAAACAGCTTCTGGTTGCATTTTAAATGAAAGTTTTAGCAACTGATTTTTTTTTTCCCCAGTAAGAGGCTTGTGCCACTGATCCAGAAGTGTATTTAAGAATTTAGATGAAGCATTTTTATCTATTTATCATGATAGAAAGAATATATAACCTGGAATATGAATCATGGCTTCCAAAAACATTTTTTTTTCCAGGAAAACTGGAAAAAGATTTTGTGCAGTTCACTAGATTAAATTATTCCTTGGTAAATTTAAGCATATTAGCTTAAATCCATATTATTGAAAATTGAGCTACTTCTTCTTAATGGATCTCCCTGCAGATGTCTTTGGCTATCGAAATTTTCCATATTATAATATCAAAAGTCTCTTTCTGTCTTACTCCTTAATTCAGACTTCATATTCATTTATTGTTGAAATAGCTTTTTTACTTTAATGTCAACTGTTTTAGTAATCAGAGCCAAGTGTGTGTTTTTGGATACTCATGTCTCAAGAGGGCTCTTATTCTTTAGAAAGGTAAAAATAACAAGGATTTGAAGCAAAATCAAAGTGAAGGATGTGGTGACTCAAGATAATTAAAAAATGCAAAAATTTGGTTTTAGAGACAAAATCTATGTAGATTTTTCTACTTACAATATATTTTAAATCTAATGTTATATAAGCTATCTGGTTTTATTTTAAAGTTAAATTTTAGAGTTAGGGTGAATATTTGTAATATAATTATTTTTCAGCATATGTTAAATTGTGCAAATGTTTGACCTAGTGTTCTTTATCTATATACTGTTCTCATCTTACTTAGGGAAAAGAGACTTCAAGGGCTATCTTGACTTTTTATAATCAAGATTGTATTTAATAGCTACACATTTTGTCCTTTTTTATTGCTGATATTTACTAATGTTCGAGTATCACTTGCTGTATGAATGAGCAGTGCTGATATCAGTCTGTAGATGGCAACCTGGGTCTAATTTTATTTCTTTTTCCTTTTTTTTTTTTTCTTTTGACTTGTTTCTCTCGTATAGTAAAGCTTAATAATTCAAGCAGAGCAGTGACATATTTCTTCAGGGAAACAAATCCCATTTTCTTTTGGTGAGCCAAGATGCAAAATAAGATTGGTTGGAGATTGATGAAGTTGGGTGTGAAATGCATTTTTAGTGCTGCATTTAAATACCAGCTTAACTGGCCAGCACATGTTTTTGCTGTACTTTCCCACTTGAGTTGCAGTGCCTTGAGATATGTGTTAGATGCTAGTAACCAGCTAAATTCTCCACTATGATCAAAACAGTAGCGATCAAACAGTAGTGCTGTTTTGAAATAGCATTTTGGACGATTGGTTATATTCACTGGTATTATTAATATTTGGTACATGAAAATATTTAGTGCATTTAGAACCCTTGGAACACAGGCAGTATAGTGATTTAGGGTCCCTTAGAAACATTGGAAGGCTGCAGAGTATAATTAACGGCTTGGTCTATATTACAGTGGCTTATGTTGTATTGGTAAATATAAGTACTATTAAAAGGCAAAGTATTGAAATCTAAGCAGAAATGAGGGTGTCTTTTGAAGGATGTGGTTTCTTTCCATTTGCATGAGCGGACATGCGTGTGCTCCACACACACCACACACGGGCCAGTTTCCTTCTTGATGCAGTTCCGGGCTTATTCCAATGCCATTTTGTGATAGTTCCCAAGGAACTTGTGATATTTAGACTCCTGGTGACGGATTGGGAGCAGGTGCAGTGCCGGCGAAGGATGTCTGAGAGTTATGACCTTGTTGGGTGACTGCCCTCGAGCAGTCATGCTCTTGAATTTCCTAATAGCTACAACCTGCACGTGGTTCGCCTTCGTTGCCCAAACATGGAGCATTACGGCAATCCATCCTGAGAGTCACAGGGCACTGAAATTTGAGATTCTTTGATCAGCCATGAACCAGCTCAGGCACTTGCATGGTTCCAGTCACGGGAGACTCTGAAGATAAAATTGGAAGCACATTAGGAAAATGTGCTCTCCAAGTCTCACCCTCTAAGGGTAAGCTCATACAGGCAGAAAGTATGCGAGAAGGCACCGAGATGAATTCACAAAGAGGCGCACTGGTTCTGTTCATAAACTGAAGTAAGATTTATATTCATTGGTGATTCTTGTCACCGCTCACTTGTGACAGGGAAATGCAGGTTCCTATTTCATCGTCATCACAACTTCTCTTCTCAATGACGATGTCTACTAGGGGTATTGGGTCAGATTTTGTAATATTACATCAAGCACTACTATGATAAAAATTGTTAAGATCAGCATTTTTTCATGCCTTGATGATCCACTTATTGGAATGACATACTGTGCAACAAAACTCTAGTACAGCAAGAGGTTTTATTAATTTCTTGAAGATTTATTGTGGAAATCAAATTCTATTTATTCATAAAAGTTAGTTTCAGAATGTTACTTTGCTATCTACTTCAGTACTG